CCTTGTGTGCATATATGCACAGCCCACAGACACAGACAATAGTGCGGTGAAGGCCTGGGGTGCGGCGGGGGCTGGGTGGAGGGGAGCAAGCATGGTGAGGGGACGGGGGGACATCTTAATACAGTCAGCAAAAAAAAAAGAAAGAAACAACGGGAAAAGGGAATGGGAGCAGTTAGCACACAGCTCACCTGTCCTCTTTATACACATCCCTTCCCCTCCACCCGCTCGCACACGCACAGAGCACCCACAACCCTGCCTGCTGGGCTCCTAAATCTTTGCCTGAACCACATGCATGATTCCTGCCTGGAGGAGTTCACACTGTGTAGAGACACAAGCTCAGAGCTACCGGGAATCCCCTCCTTCTCTCTTCTCTTTTTCCTTTATTCTACCTTTTTTGTTGCTCTTTAACCCCTTTTTGTTGTCCTTTAACGCTGCCTTAAAGCAGAAACAGCACCCAAAACCCATGGTTAGACCCCTGCTGGCCCTCAGGACTGAAAGGTTTTGTATCCTGTGTTGAAACATGGTTCTTATAACACAAGTCCCGGGGTGAGACCCTGAGAGAAGACAAGGCGTAGGTTTTGCCTGCTCTGGGGCCACTAGCCGGACTGCTGGCCGAGTGAGCACCACTGGCCAAAAGCTAACGCGGGCAGCTTCCTTCCTTCCTTCAACCTGAGACACTCCAGTCCAGAGGCTGGAAAGCAGCTTGGTTGGCCTAGCTTCCCCGCTCTGCAATCATTCCTAACATGAAGACAGACAGCTGAGCCCCACCCGTGTGGCCCATGTTTGAGCATCAACCTATGAACCAGGAGGTCACGGTTGGGTTCCAGGTCAGGCACATGCCCGGGTTGTGGGCTTAATCCCCAGAGATTGGTGTGCAAATGGTGTTTCTATCTCTCTCCCTCTCCCTTTCTCTCTCTGATTTCAATTAAAAAAAATTTTTTTTTTAAAAAGAAAGCTTGCTGAGAAACAGCCAATCATGTATTTCCTGTTATTCTGCATCACTGCCCAGCCAAAAAGATCCCACAAAGTTATGTATTATTTCTTTCCTTTTCTTTGTTTTGTTTATATATTTAGAAAAAAGTTAAAGATTCTGAGTAACTTTGTCTTTATGTAATACTTTTTTTTTTTTACAGATTATTCAGACTTCAGAGTCTAAATGAATTAAGAAATTCAGATAAGGGAAAGAAAATCATTTGAAAACCACCCCCCCCCAAATATATTCCATCAGATATATTATTTTCAAAATATATCCTTTTATGCCCTCTGAATTTGAAAACATGGACATGTCTTACATACCTAAACTCGTATGGTAGAAAAGACTTATCTTACAGTTCAATATGACAAAAAGAGATATGGGATTACTTCCTCTCGGTAAATGGCCACAGGAGGAGAACTCGATGAGAATGGCCACTTCAGCTCCAGGGAGCACTTCCTGCAGCAGATTCGCCTGTGCTAAGGGCATCCTGTGCGCACCATCCTACCCAGCATTGCTCTGCACCCCTAAGTGATGATTCCAGCGAATCCTCTCTCTTCTAGCTCTTCCACAGGTTCTGCTCCTTCTCTCTCCCCTTCCTTTCTATCTTTTTTATTTTTAACTGCATGGTCCAAAGTTGTTTGCTAACCTCAGCACTAATCTTGCCTTCTGTGCCCTAGAAAAGCTAGTTAAGGCGTGAGGAACGCCTTTCTTGTCTGTCAGGATGGTTGGGCAACCTGTTTGTGATTCGCATTGTCTCAGTGTTGATTCAGCTGATCTGATCAGCAGATAGGTGTGGCCTTCCTCCTTCACCTGTCATTATCAATCCAGTTGGTGTCTCTGTGCTGTGTGAGGGGTAGGTGGGGGATGTTGAGTGAGGTAGGTTATGTTGAGCCCCGGGAATGCTGACGTAACAGGGCATGAAGCTTTGCAAGCATTCTTCAGTCTTTCTGTGGCCTCTTGTGTATGTTTTCTAATGAAGGACTAAGACTATAAGCTTCCTAAAACTGTATTCGCTCCTCTATTTCCTTAGTATTTGTAACAGCGATTATATCCCATCAGATATAACGTAATAGAAGTTATAAGTTATAACTTTAAAGGAGAAGGAATTAACGTATAGAATCTCTCCTAGAATTAAGCTGTTTCTATTTGGTTTGGAGAAAAATAATATCCACAGTATGACTGTAAGTACTGGTGATCATCTCCATAGTATGGCCAATAAAACCCCACGTGACATTTTCAATGTTCTAAGTATTAAGTGAACATTTAGAAACCATTAACAGAACTTCAAAAAAAGTAACCACTCAAAGGAAATGTTCTTCCTTTTGCCAGGTCTGCATAGAATAAAAAAGTTCTTCATTATCCTATAAATTAACTTCGTAGCATGGAGATAAATCTTTGCACTGAGACCGATAATGTGGTAAGAAAAAGACGATCCTTTCCATTTGTCCTTAAGAAATACCCAGAAACGAAGGCTCGCAGTCCTATTCACCACTGATGAACAGTGAACCCTAACATGGTCCATCTAGCAGTGGTTCTCAACCTTCCTAATGCCGCAACCCTTTAATACAGTTCCTCATGTTGTGGTGAGCCCCAACCATAAAATTATTTTCGTTGCTACTTCATAACTGTAATTTTGCTACTGTTATGAATCGTCATGTAAATATCTGATATGCAGGATGTATTTTCAGGGGTCGCGACCCACAGGTTGAGAACCGCTGACTAGGGGAAAGAGAAAAGCGAAGCACCTGCTAGTCTGCTCCTGTCTTCGCCTGCGACCACGACGATCCAGTCCCGCTGGATGGTGATGGCAGTGGCGGTGCTGGCCAGGTTGGCGATGTTGGCGATGGTGATGATCAGGATGTAGCAGGAAGTCTAGTCACAGGGAAAGGCTGAGTGTCAGGGTCCTACACCTCAGTGTGCAGCGTCCTTCAACATGGCCGTTGGTGGCATAACAATCAAACTGATTTTATTTCATTCTAACCAATCATTTTATCTTATACATATGAAACCATAGATCCCCAGGGTCCAGTTAAAGAGCACAGTATCTTCCTAATCTGTATCCCCCGTAGCACATATAAAACTCATACTAGTCACATGAATAGTCATGTGACGGTTACCGTAAAGTGTTAACATAGGGGCCGTTTTACTGTTTCCCCCACAGATGTCTCCTTTGGAGAAAGTGTTAAGGGGAAAGTGTTATCTTAGTCTTTTCATCAACAAAAAGGGAATGGACCTGAAGATTTCTACGGTCATTCCTGGCCTGGACACTCCCCAACATCGACCCAAATATACATGAGAAGATTCAATGGTGACATCAAATCCATCCCTTTCCACCAGACCATCGCTCTTTTCCATGAAGCTCTCATAAAATCATAGTGTGAGAAGCTATCTAACCCATGTCCCGCCTCCAAAAATACCAATTCTATTGGAAGAACACAATCATGACTGATTAACATATATATAGATAATATTTCTTATGTAGTATGAATGAATTACAGGTTAATACTAATGGGCTGAAAACTAACAACTGAATTATATTATGAACTCTTAGAAATGCTTTTGAAAACAAATAGGGAAAAAACCCATAGGACAAAATTTAAATTCAAACAACTCTTAATGAGTACCTGTTATGGGAAAAACATACATACACACACACACACACACACACACACACACACACACCAAAAAAACCAACCAACAACTAAATAAAATAAAAAATTGGGGGGATATTGTAAACACAGAGATCAGCGTTAAAAGGTCCCATTTGAAAAACAGACACTCCCTGGCCTCCGAGGGCTTTCTCGCACCACTCCCCACGCTCAGCTCCCGCCATGCGGATGGCGGGGAGGACTTACGAGGACCCATCCGTGGTACATGGTCAGCAGCTCGTCCTTGTGCAAGAAGACCATCATCAGGATGATGCCACACAGGATGACCGACACGTTCTGTATCACCAGTGATGTCTGGGCCACTGCAGGGAGAGACCACGCTCACTACCTGCCACACCAGGACGTCCCAGCAGGCTGCGTCTACCCACCCATCACTGGACCACTGCCCAGTGCCATGCCAACTACGGCAGGAAATAAAACCAGCGCGACTGCGGTGGATCCCGCCTCCCCACTCCCAGGACAGCCAGCCAGGTCACACCCTGCACTGACATCGCAGACAGCAGGATGGAGTGCCCATCCCTCTTCCTTAGTTGGAGCCCTTCATAATGACACATTTCCATTCCATTGATTCTCATGAAGGCTCACTATGACAGGCAGATACACAGATTACACAGGCGATCCAGCTCCCAGCTCTCTCACCCATGGATGCTCACACCAGAACAGGTAGGAAGTGGTGAGGGAGGGGAAGGAGGGGTCCCGGATCCGTAAGCTCCCCGCACAGGCCAACCCTGATCAGAGAGGAAGTGCGGGCACACAGAAGAGACTGTGAAAGTCTGTTGGGGGAGGCAGCGTGTGTTTCCTTTGGCATCGAGGTCTGTCACTGCTGTGACGCTCTACGCTACCCCTCCCCGCACAGAAAACGCGGCTTTCTCGGAGCGGAGGCAGCCATCCCTGTAGTGAAGCGCGGGCATCAGGACAGGTGACGCCGGTGAGGACCCCATGGCGCCTCCCTCCCACCTGCCAGGGAGAGGACCCAGGGCAGGACGCTGAGGTCCCGCACGCTGTGTCTGGATGGCAAGGCCAGCGCACACCTGCCTCCCTCCTGCACAGAGTCTGATGCTCCCATAAAACGCTCACCGAGCGCTCCTTAAACAAAGCGCCGTGTGTGCGCGTCATGACAGCTCGTCTTCAAGGACAGCCACGCGCAGCCTGGCTTGGGAGGCCACATCACAGCCTCAAGAAACAACAAACCACCTTTTGAAATTAGCTTGAAGTAGAACCTGGATGTATAACTCATCCATGGGTGCAGTCACGGATTGCACGAGGATCGACTAGCAACGGAACAAGTTTCTTAGCTCTCGGGACCCCACCGGCTCCAGGGAGGATGGACAGGTGAACAGGTAACCACCAGGGTGTATGTAGCACAGCAGAGGCATGAACTGAGGCTGATGGGCACAGAGGGAGAAGGGTTAACTCCGCCTGGAGACCAGAGGAGACTTTCGTGGAGGTGCCAACGAGCTGATTCCATGGGACTCGAGCGGGAGCCTGCTGGCCCACCAGCTCTCCTCCAACTTGGCGTCCTCTCAGCCCTACAGCGTCAGTGCGCCACAATCATAGGTTAAATACCCCATGGATACCATTTCTCTGTTCCTGTGAATGATGATGTAAAAAGCCAGGAATTCTTTTCGGGGATAGAAACATTTTTCTATCCGTGTTTGGGTCTATTAATCCTCACAACAGAAAGATGTGCATCTTGACTATTTTACTAAAAGCATCAGGCCCCGGGATTTGATCATCAGGGCTCTCCTTACACTGATGGGAACAAATGGTAGCCCAGCCCTCCCCCAGCATCCGAGACAAACACGGCCGGGCCTTCGCACGATCAACGGAGCAACTGAGGGAAACGCTGCCCTATTCGTCCGAATACCTGAACTGCTCACCCACGTTCTCCCTTTCCTATAGCAACCTGACCATGTCAGCATTCATGCCCTGGAGTAAATGTGAATGTATTTCTTTCTTCTTTGCCCTAAAACATGTATAACTCGGCCCTCCGCGCGGCAGACTCAGACATTCTCTCTTGAATCTGTACTTTTCAATCCCCTGCACACACCTCTGCGTGAGATAGTCGCCCAGGGCGCGGGAGCGAGCGCTGCCCCAGGAGCCTCACACTAAAGAGACTCCAGTCTGAGTCCTGGTTAGGAAGAACCCAGAGACTAGCAAACTTTCAATGTTTAACACGGTTCTCAGAAAAGCCTACGGGGTTAATCATTGACATGTGGGATGTCTGAACAGCCAGAGGTACACCCCCAACCAATGAGCTCAGTATCCTGTCGCCCTAGCCTTGCACAGGGGCCCAGAGCCTCCATGGGGAGGTGCTGCCCAGCCCCCAGCACTCAGCGGGGTGCACAGTGGGCCGCCACAGGGGTTTCCCTGCAGCTCAGGCGCTGGTCCATGAATACAAAGGCATGGTTGTAACAACACTCACCTTTATTATTAGTTTTTTAAATGTGTTCTTATTGATTTCAGAGAGAGGAAGGGAGAGGGAGAGAGAGAAGGAGGAGAAACACCGGTGATGAGAGAGAATCATTGATCGGCTGCCTCCTGCACGCCCCCTACTGGTCATGTGCCCTGACCGGGAATCAAACCGTGACCTCCTGGTTCATGGGTCCACGCTCAGCCACTGAGCTACGCCGGCGGGGCAGCACTCACCTTTAAGCCTGGCGTTCTTGTCCACCCAGTCGCCGATGATGGCCCCGAGGACCAGCACGGACCCTGCCACCACCAGCCCGTAGACGGCCGTCAGGAGCAGGCTGTTCCCGTAGAGCTCCACCAGGAACACGGACACCGCGAAGTGCCACATCCGGTCCCCCTGCAACCAGAGGGAGACAATGGTGGCCGAACCGTTTTCGTTTCTGGTCAGTTATTCTCAGGAAGTGGCTTGCTTCTCTGAGGGCACTTTCCGGCCCCTCAGGAGGTTTTCAAGGTCGGCTCCTCTATGGATGGAACACTGGCCACCGGCAAGACGGTCCATCCTGCCACAGTGGAGGCTGCTCTGGCTCCAGGGCTAAGCAAACTGGAAAGAACATGCTATTAATGAAACACACATAATCCTTTCCATTCCAGAAAGAACACGTTTCCGGACCTAAGAAGGTGTTTTAAGACAAAAGCCGATGCCTAGTGTGTCAGGTTCCGAGCCTGGAAGGGCCTGTCCTGAGGTAGTTTACTTCTGAATCAGCTTGAACCTAGAGGAGAGCTTACAAACAGTAGGGTGCCTTGAATGCCAAAAAAAAAACAAAACCCACCATTTAACTAATTTGTAAAATGATAAGAATGAACTATCTCTAAAGCCTTTTGTACCTCTAATGTTCTAAAATCTATGCTCCACTTCACAAATAAATTTCAGTCATAAAACAGCGGGGCAATCAGAAAGATGAAATTAGTATGGGCCAATTCTGGCACCGCATAAAAGAAGACATCAGAAATAAATGCATAGCAAGCAGCCATTTTTACACTTTAACAAAGATGGGTTTTGAAAGGGGAAAGAAACTACTTATTTCTTCACTAGAGGCCCGGTGCACAAAATTCGTGCACTGAGGGTGGGGGGGTCCCTCAGCCCAGCCTGCGCCCTCTCACAGTCCAGGAGCCCTTGGGGGATGTCCGACTGACGGCTTAGGTCTGCTCCCCATCAGTCGGACATCCTTAGTGCTGCTGCAGACGCAGGAGCGGCTCCCGCCACCGCCGCTATGCTCACCAGCTGTGAGCCCGGCTTCTAGCTGAGCAGCGCTCCCCCTGTGGGAGTACACTGACCACCAGGGGGCAGCTCCTGCGTTGAGCGTCTGCCCCCTGGTGGTCAGAGCACGTCATAGCAACCAGTCGTTCCACTGTTCGGTCTATTTGCATATTAGCCTTTTATTATATAGGATTCCAGAGTATACAGGGAATTTGGGGATTCACCACTGCAAAATGTGGCATGACAGACTTTTCAATGAATCAGTTAAATTAATGTATAAGAAATCTATAATGGACCTTGTTATGTTTTAGGCTCCATTCCTAACAGGTTAACATAAAATAGGACAACACTGTTCTATCATAACCTACCCCTGGAAATCACTACAGGACACATTTCCAGGCTAGATTCTTATGATGGGGGGGAGGAGGTACTTGATTCTGACCTCCATTCCTCTGAACAGCTCCCAAGGAAAAGACTAAAACACATAAATGCACCAAATGAGAGGTTGCCTCAACAAGTGAATTTCCTCTTTTTTAACCTAAAGAGTAAGAAACAGTATTCCACTACTATTGCTTCTTCCTCGTTTTTTTGTTTTGTTTTTCTATTCCTATCTTTTTTCCAACGGAATTTGTTTTAGATTCCTCCAGAGCATCAAAACGGAGGCAATTTCTCTCTTGCTTATCCCCGTATGGCATGGCCCTTCCTTGATAGAGGGGAATAAAATTGCTCCAGTTACCCCAATTTCCAAAGCCTCTTCATTTTAAGAAGCAATAGCTTCTATGCTCACAAAGCCCCCAAATCGAGTAAACTCTTAAGTAAATGTTGACCAAGTGCAACTGCAAGCCCACCCATCCCTTCCTTATGTCCACTCCCTGCCTTCCCATAAGCTCCAGCCATACTTGCTTACATGTCCATCTATACCCAGTGGACTAAGAGCTGAAGACCCACTGAATATCAGCAAGTGAACACTCACAGTTATTCCTCAGTAAGTTCCTCTCTTGTTGAGAGGGACTACGGAGGCACCAGAGATACAAGTGCATGAAAATCAAGGTCCATGGTCCCATGCAGCTTGCATCCCAGTGAACAAAGACCAAAAATACATCTAGAATAGGTCAAGCAGTGTAAATGCATGACAAAAAATAAAGGTAGGATGGGGTTGGAAGGTGGCATTTCGCATGAGGCAGTGACAGAGACCTCTATGAGCAGGGACTGGAAGGAAGGGAGGGCTGGGCCATGCACACATCTGGGGTATAAAGGGAGACAGGTCATAGGATGGTGACATAAGATGGAAGCAACTGGCACCCCTTTCAATGCCTTTCACTACCGGTTATCTTTCTGTGATTAGATATAGTTGTTAAAGCCCATACTAACCTATATTAAAAAGCTCCCTGATAGAATCCACTTCTTACACTACTTTGTACTTGATATAGTGTCTAGAGCAGTGGTTCTCAACCTGTGGGTCGCGACCCCTTTGGCGGTCGAACGACCCTTTCACAGGGGTCGCCTAAGACCATCTTGCATATCAGATATGTACATTACGATTCATAACAGTAGCAACATTACAGTTAGGAAGTAGCAATGAAAATAATTTTCTGGTTGGGTCACAACATGAGGAACTGTATTTAAAGGGCCAGAAGGTTGAGAACCACTGGTCTAGAGGAAAACATATGGATCCACTGGCAGGTAGAAATGAAGTCAGAAATAAAAGCTTTCAACCCTACACACATTTAAGCTCGTATAACCTTCTACGGTAACACCTCCATATTCAGTGTACAGGAAGCCATGGTTTGGCAGAGTTGGCAGGGAAATAGATAGATAGATGTAGATGCATCAGCTATGATTGTAGTTGCTGGTTTTTTGTTTGTTTTGCGGGGGGCTTGCTTTAAATACAACTTTCCCACAAGAACTCCCTTTGCTCAACTTACTTGTAAAATTGCCATAAGCTTGTCACTTTGCTGTGGAATTTACACTGTGACCAAACAACTCTCCTGGAACCACAGTCCCGCTCTTTCGGCAAATCTGCCCTCCCCACCCATGGACAGAAGGTCACACAAACCCTAAACGTACCGGCATTGGAAGTGAGGCACATCGCTGCCCTCATGGGCAGGCCCAGACCACAGGTGAGAATTTCAGATCCTCTCCATCACTTGTGATTGTTTTGTGTGTGTTTTCAATACTTCATACTTACTGAGTTAAACTGGAACACCAAACCACTGAGTCAGATTAATGGAGAGTACTCTCACTAGGTTTCCACCCAGAACCGGCAGCTACTGGAAGTGAAATCTGCGGGATTCCTCCGTGCTCACATGTGCCTGCGGGGCCCCTGTCTAGGCCTCGGAAGAGAGGCGCCTGCCTCCCGCAAGGCCGGCTCTGCTGCTGTTTCTTCAGGAGCTGATAACCCGGCTGAGCATTCCCCCAGGGCCCGGGGCGCAGATTTCCTCCTACGATAGTGGGCATGCACGTCTTCAGGACGATTTATGAGACGTTTCCAACTTAAAAGGAAAGCAGCCGTCACCAAAGGTCCTCTCAAAACTCTTTCTCCTTACCTACGGTTCTTCTTAAACATACACAAGGTGTGAAGAGAATATACTCAGACTCACTGCTTCTAAACCGGAAGAACAATTGCTTAATTTTAAAGAGTCTAATCATGAGTTAAATACACATCCAACACCCTTTTGGGATTAGTCTTTCTTGGGGCGGTGAGGACAGAACCCAGGCCCACAGAAACACAGGGCCCCTTACAACACCACAGAGGAAGTCAGAGGAAAAACTGGGTCAGGTGATGACTTTCAGTGCATGATGGTTTCAACATAGCCTGAGGGGCCCCACCCATACCTGCCTACAGGTAACATTTTTAAAGACCAGGCTTTTCGTCACTCAGACATTTGTGTTGGGGGTCCATTTTATTTACATTAACCTTAGGATGCTATGCTTAGCCTAAGTCCATCACTCTGCAATTCTCCTGTAATTTCATAGTGCAGTATGCCGAAACAAAAATTTAACGAAAGAAAATTTAAAAACAGAACATGAAGGAAAGAATAGAAGGTATCTGAGACAGCCATTCATTCTTAGCAGCAGATATGACCACTTACTAAGCCTGATAATGAAAAAAAACAAACCATTGACAAACAATGCAAATACTACTGCTGTGGTTAAAGCTGTCCTTCGCTACTTGTTCAACCTACATAAAGTGTAATAACCTGATAATTAAATAGTATTTACTAACCCTATGGGAAAATACCCTGGGGAGGGGCGGGGGGAGAAACACTTTTTCATAAGAGCATGTGTTTGGATAATGTTATGTCTCTCGCTGCACGACAAACAGGAGGGTGGCTTAAAACAGCTGGCCCCAGTCAAAGGAAACCTGAATTGTGCAAGTGTGTGGTAAGAATGACTGCACAGGCTCACTTACCCAAGTGGATAAGAAATGGCCCACGTAGAGAAGGAACTTGGCCGAGGTCAGGTAGTTTGTTAAGGATCCTGCAAAGACACACACGGAGCAGGAGATCAAAAGCATATTTTGTCCCTGGAGTTAGAGGAGGTTGGAATGTGTGTCCATTTTAAAGGACCGTGAAGCAAGATGATCAGGAACGACGTGGTGGGGTTAGCCACGGTCATGTTAGCAGGCCCGCGCATGCTGGAATTCAGCAGGACCAAGGCCAGTGGGCTGCGCGCCTTCCCCGGCAGCGGGAGTGCGCGGGCCAGCCTTCCTGGGCTCCAGGTCTCCACCGAGGGAGCCCGGCTGCCCAGCCCACTTGTCCTGTCCGGCCTGCAAGCCCCTCTTACCCCCTGGACACCCATGGCTCCCTCAGGCCCCCTCCAAAACAGGAGTCAGAGGAGCTACCAGGCGCTCTGCTCGCCCTTCAGCCACAGTCCCCGGGGCCCGCGAGCCCGGCACCTGCCTGGCCACTCACCGCAGCATCCTCCCGGGCGGTCC